CTCACTCACTCACTCACTCACTCACTCACTCACTCACTCACTCACTCACTCACTCACTCACTCACTCACTCATTTACTTACCTATTCACCTACTCACTATCTTTTTTATTCACTTATTTATCACGTAGTTTTCCTCCTTTTCTTCTCGGAGTTTATTTCCCCGTCTCATATCGTTACGTAATTTTATAACGCGACGACGTTTTTCCACCCCCCGTAGATTCCCGATCGCCGATGTCGTCGGATTCGCGCTCGTCGCCGGAGTCGGTGTCGCCCGTCAACAACAACCACTCGCGGGTGGACTCCCGCGGTGAGGGTGGCGGGTCGCCACTCATCTTCGACCCGCGGGTCATCATGGGCGGCCTCAACAGACCGATGATTTCGGCGGAGACGGGCGGCATGGGACCGCCGTCGTCGAAGCATCAGATGTCGCCGGGGCTGGTGTGCGTCGTCTGCGGAGACACGTCGAGCGGCAAGCACTACGGCATCCTGGCCTGCAACGGCTGCAGCGGCTTCTTCAAACGCAGCGTCAGAAGAAAACTCATCTATAGGTAGGGATCGTCTGTGAGATGGGTGGGGAGGGGTGGAGGGTTGACGCGTCCATGGGGTTGAAGTTTATAGACATAAAATGGCGTCTGCAGATCATTTACGCGGCGGAACCTGATGTAAACTTAACGAGGCCACCGTGATAGTTTGTTGATGTTGTTGTATATTATCAAGAGTGTATAATTGAATAGACTGTTATTATACACTATTATCTTCCATCGGGGAAGATCTGTGATGATAAAAAATGTAATCCTAATATAGCCAGAGCAAGTTTAATATTCTGAAACCATAATAAGCGCTGAATAATTTCTGAAAAAGATATATATATATATATATAACACTATTGTTGCCGCATCCGTCGCACCTCAGAGAAATGGAATATTCTCGATGCGTTTCTCGTCCGGTAACATCTCGTCCACGAAGCTGTTATTTCTGTTCTTATATATTCATCTCTACTGTTCTCTCGGCGGTCATGCCGGCTAGTACCAGTGCGCCCGTTACGCCAGAAAAAAAGCACCTAAAGAGCTAATAAAGTGAAAACGTTAGTGCATAATTATGTCTTCAGTTGTTATCATTTCAATATTTTCTATGTAATTTGACTTGCGCTTAGAAAACGGAACGTTTATATATATACATATATATATATATATATATATATATATATATATATATGGTTATGCAATATTGAGTATTTGCCCTACTTTTTCTTTCCTATCGTTCAGATCACTAACCGTCACAGGTACCTAGGACATCAGTATCAAATTTCAAAGGTGAAAAACCAATTGTAATATATTTGGGTATATATATGTTATACTGTACAATTGCATTTATTCATGCACATTATAACATTTTTAAGCACTTTTATTAATATATGAAATTAAGATTTAAACGATTTATCAAACTCGCTCGAATATTTCTTACGATCATAAAGTACTATGCTGTGTCCATACAGCCCTGCATGTGCACAGGAAAGTATTCTGCACGCAATACTGTCTCTCATGAATATGGCAATGTACAATCAACAGCAAAGATCAATTCGGCGTCTATTTATCGCATGCGTTGAACAAATTAAGATACGCTTAAACTAGCTAGCAGACGCGTGCCTCTCCGCCATGAACACGAAGTACAAGATTGTTTATTTCGCCTTGCTAATTTGTGTGACTCGTATAAACGGACGACTATAACCAGAACACGCATGTGGTTGTCAACATTATGTCCTTATTATGTCGACACGTTTATTTTCAAACACCCTGTTTCAGAGCAAAATAATGGAAATAGCAACAATCGCGTTCGTAGTCTGTATATTCATCGAGCTCGGGCCACGTCGAATGCTTGATAGACACGTATATTTTACTCGACGCGCTGATTTTTGAACCATCCGTGAATCGTTCGTTAAAAAATTCCAGCCGGTTTCATCGCATTAACGTTTGCGGGCGGGTAGAACGCCATCGACAAATAAAAAAAGGTCCAATTCGTGAAAACAAGATCACGGTTGACACGGATGCGTGCGTTATGGGCAAGGGAATATTGCTTCTGATTCCGTTTACTGCCTGATGATGTGCGTACATGCGTATTCATGGGAATTATTAGGTCTGCGATTACAACTCCACACAACTAGAGTAACTACTTCTGATTTAACCGGTGGTAGAATAACCGGTGATTTTGATTTAACGGGTTTTGATTTAACCGGTGATAGAACAGTCCCCGAATGATAACACCTGATAGTGACGCGACAGCGTTCTCGTGCGACCTTTCTACCAGTGTTTGAATTCATCACCGTATTGACCGCATTTACCACAGTATCTTAAAAAACGTGAAATCTACTGCAGTATACAAGTTCATAAATATTGTTAGGTACGTATTAACTAACATCGCTTTAGCCCGCCATCACGTCAAGCACGGAAATATGGCGTTTGCATTTCCCTATTCAAAATCTCTGGAATAACTCATGTTATTTCGTTTCCTACAGATTTGTAAATTTTTCTACATTTCCTTTCTTTATTAATGAAACGAGGATATCTCTTACATTTCCAGCCACTTCCCTTGATCACAATTCTCTAATAATCACTCTTACTATTCCCTTCTATTGCGAATTTTCTGTTATCCTGCCTTCTAGTTCTTCGACTCCTAGTTCTTCTCTTGGCATTACTACTCCATTTCAGTGCTCCAGCCGAAGTTGCCGTCACTCTGTTTAGCCCCACTCTTATTTGCACTTTTCCTATTCCATTCCTCCCCTACCCGGATTTACCCTCTTTTTTTTCTAGCTGCTTCTCGTCTCCCTCCTTTAGAACGCTGATTTACTTCACTTCACTCTGCTCGTCGCGTTCATTTTTAAACCTCGCTGCTCGCATCATTTCACGAAACTACAAATATGCAATTTGCGATAAAATTAAATCAAGACGAGAACTTTCTCCACCCATTGTTACAATCGAAATATGTCATTATATCAACTTATATTGATTTAATAAAAAAATGAGGGTTTTCTGAGAGTTATTCAAATTTCTCTGAAAACAGACATAAAGATCACATAAGTGTGAGTTTTTTTTACACAGTTTTACAATAACAATATTTCGCAAATTTCAGGCAAAATGCCACCATACCATGCCACGCTACCATATTTTATATATATATACGTACGTGTACGATATGCCTACGCGCATGCGCTAGTCTTACGTCTGGGGTGTGATCATATATATATATATATAACGTACATAGTAGTTTAAGTTAAAGGAGCGTGCTTAATACTCCACATATATGGCGAGCCGTATTAGATGCCAACTGCCCACCCCACACAGAAAAGCTATAGTGTGAAAACGATCAACAATTAGAAATTGCGCTTAGCACAAAAAACCGATCGTATCTTGTTTCCCCGCGTGCGCATACTGTGGTGGTTCCTAAAAACACGGAGGCGGAGACAGGCAGAGGTAGCGACAGAGTCACATCTATATAGCTGGTCAGTATTATACGCCATCCACTGACGTCAGCTCGGTAGCCTGCTGCGACGATAAAGAACTCGCGCAGCTCCCTTCTTGACATTATTATTCGTAGAGATCGGCTGCGTCGCTGGCGGGCTGTGGCCATTACGCCGCGAAGCTGCTCTCTGATTGGGCAGGAGCGTCGGTGATCGACAGCCGAACTGAAGCCTTAGCGCTGCTCACCATAAGTGATAGTCTCTTCACGTGAGCACGCTTCCGTGATCAGAGATCCGTGACAGAGCAGACAACGCGGCACGGGCGCCGCGATACGGCGCTATTACGATACGCCGTGAGCGGGTGCACAGACGAAGAGCGCGCGAAACCGTGAGAGGGCCGGAGAGAAGACGGAAGGAAGGACAGCAACAAAGCCAGCAGCGCAGTAATGGAGATCCCTAATGGACCGTCTTCGTCATTAAACACAACAGGTTAGATTTCATGTGAATATATAACGTGATTTTATATTATATAATAATATAACGCACGCGCACGCGAATTCGAGCATATATATATATATATATATATATATATATATATATACGTGCGTGCGTGCGGTTGTGCGTAGATTTAAGTTTTAATTACTTAATGACTGATTATTCAATTATTGATTGACTGAAATAAAACTGGATTACGTAACCCAAACTATTGCATCAAGCAAATTAGTTTAAGTAGTCACACCTAGTTTATGCCGTACATGTAATTTAATTAAAACCTGAGATACACGCACGCGCGCACACACATACATACATACAAACATACATACATACATACATACATACATACATACATACATACATACATACATACATACATACATACAAACATACATACATACATACATACATACATACATACATACATACATACATACATACATACATACATACATACATACATACATACATACAATACATAACATACATACATACATACATACATACATACATACATACATACATACATACATACCAGTACATACATAATACATACACACACAACAAACGACCACAGCAGCCACACATACATACATACATACATACATTACATACATACATACATACAATACATACATAACATACAGTACATACATACAGACATACAGTACAACATACAGACATACATACTACATACATACATACATACATACAGACAGACAGACAGACAGACAGACAGACAGACAGGACAGACAGACAGACAGACAGACAGACAGACAGCGACAGAACAGACAGACAGACAGAACAGACAGACAGACAGAGAGACAGACAAACCAGAAGGAAGGTGGGATTATAGAGAGGTGTTATAGAAGAGAAAGCGAGAGAAAGCCGAGAGAGAGAAAGTGAGAGAGATAGAGGGGATGAAAAAGTAAAAGCGCCGCTGCGAGAAGGTGAGCAGAGCACGCGTGGGTGGAAGAGGAAAAATAGCGTATGAGCAAGAGAGGAAGCAAAGAAGAAACAAGAGACAGAACGGAAGCGATGGAGAGAGAGAGATACGCCCGAAAGAGAGAGAAGAGAAAGAGAGAGAGCAGAGGAGCAGAGAAGGAGAAGAGACGCAGCCGAAAGATCAGAGAGCCGAGAGAGAGAGATAGAGAGAGAGAGACAAGCGCGAAACGAGAGAGAGAGAGAGAGAGAGAGAGAAGAGAGAAAGAGAGAGAGGAAGAGGGGAGAGAGAGAGAGATAGAGGAAAGAGAGCGCGAGAGAGCGAGGAGAAGGTCGGGGTAGAAGGCAATGCGGAAATTTTTTTTTTTTTTTTTTTTTTATTATACAGAGCCGTGTCGATACTCGGATATTACGCTAATCGTGGGAACTCTACGCGAAGACTTACGGCGGAGAGCAGTGCAGGCCCATCAAAGCTGTCCCAGTAACTACGAATGCGTACGTGAAAGAGAGCGACGCGGGCGAGGAATGCAGCACATCCAGCAATCAAGGAAACCCAAGCAACCGCAACCCGCGTCATCACAGTGATGCCACGCCGTGAGCGCGTCAGCCACAACACACGCCCCTATACCACCCGCACTTCTCCGCCTACCAATGAGT